AATTTAAATAGTAAATGGATAGGGTAAATAGGTTTTTGTTTGTGATGTCTTTTAGGCATAAATCTAATTTCTTTGGCCCTAATTTCCTTGTTTTCCGTGGCTTAAAATGACCTAGGAAATTATAAAAGACCATTTTTAATTCGGCGTAAAGTCAAATTTTTAGTATTTCTTTATTGGAATAAGTTGAAAATTTACATTTTAAGAAATGGATATCAGAATAGATATAGCACAACTTGTTTTTAACTCTTAACTCAATCTACTGCATTTATCTTCCTTAGTTGTGTAAAAACGTTATAATGACATGATATTCATTGGTATGTTTGCTTGCGAAGGTACACTAAAATGGATCGAATTAAAAAAAAGCAAACCACAGAAGAAAACTTAGAGAAAACAATATTTATAATAATTTCCTTGGCTACCAAAAATTCATGACCTCATAACTTTGTTTCTAAAACGAATTATGACACCCCTTTTAGATACATTGGCTTAGTTTTTGCTTCTTAATGCAATGGGAAAATAAAAAAAATTCGTGCCAAGGATATTAGGCAAAATCGACCATTTTTGGCGAAATACCCGACTATTCCTACCTCTCGTTACCACCACTGCAACTCTTGCATAGCTAGGATAATGGTTATGAATATTGTATTTTCTTTCAGATGAGAAGTGTCGTCCCGAATTTAAAGATCTATGTTAAATTACTCACCAAATTAGGGCGGGAAATTCATCTAATGCATTTTGCACATAAAGGTCCATATTACGAAGAGGTTGGCAATACTTTATATTCCTAATATTATAAAATTACAAGTCTGTGTTCTACTAATGACTAAATCGATTTTGATGAGACTAAATAAATGAGGTTTTGGAACGATAAAAAATCCCACGCAGACGCTTGTTAGTTTTAAATTAAAACCGCCATTATTTATTTTTGTTACAGATAAACAAAACGGTCGACAAAGCATCGCATATTTACACAAAGTTCATTGTTGTCTTTATGTATATGACTATGATGATGTTCAATATCACTCCGATCTATAACATTTCCAAAAACATATTAAGTAGCAAAACCGAAAATTCCACTCAGGAGTACGCGTTATATTACAGCTTTCCTGGGATCAATCCTATGAATTACTACCCTACAACGACGGTGTATAATTTCTATCTTTCATACAACTGTGGGATTATGATGTGCGGATTAGATTTGGTTCTATTCTTGATGATTTTTCAACTTATCGGCCACGTGTACATTCTGAGGCACAACCTTGAGAACTTCCCGTCGCCTAAGAACAAAGTGGTCCTGAATATTGGGGATCTGCCCAGATACAAAAACAAAGAAAATTGCATCGTCGAAATGTTTGACGCGAAGGAGAACGAAGAAGTGCGCGTGCGGCTGGCGGAGTGCATAGAACATCACAAAATTATCATTCGGTATGATGACGACTTCGCTATATTTTATTTAGGGGTCCTACCTTCAATAAAAAAGAAACCCATAGGAATAAATCAATTGTCCGTCTGTCAGCTAAATCGTTAAGGAATCAATAGCTGCTTAAGGCTGCTTTCATGAAACCAGAAACCTAAATTAAAGAAAAAGCACAACAATCTAACGGCACGGCATAAATTATTATGTTTAAAAATAGTAAAAGTAGCTATTATTCGGCATGTGACGATGTACAGCATCTGGTGAGAGATAATTGGGATGCTGTGCATCGTCTCTGCTCAATAATACAAGTTTTATTGTTTTGTAAAACTTGTACTATTATTGATGTTTTTATTTTTCAGATTCACAGATGAAATTTCAGTTGTTTTCGGCCCTATTTTAGCCTTTAACTACATGTTCCACATGGTCGGATGTTGTTTGCTATTGCTGGAATGTTCAGCGGGAGTAAGTTCATGGCAATATTAAAAAATACTTATCTTTCGACAATGATTACAGACATAAATTTTAATATTTTACTTATACAGGGTGTTACTTTGCATTCTTGCCATATTTACAGAGGTAAATATATTAATATTATTGATACTGAACACAAATCCGTTACAAAATAATGCCCGAAAATTTTGATTTTTAATTTTGAATATTTTATTTTATCGACAATCTGTTAAACACATCACTAATTATCGTAACGCATGCACATCACTTGTTAGCGATGGCGATGGAGACTTTTTTAATTTTTATTGTATTTTTAAATACTTATCCATTGCAATATATTGTCTTTAAAATGTCTTTTAGACACTTTTGTAAAAAACTGGGAAATCCATCAATCACAAATCACGTTATAAATAATACAAAAATGACTGAAGTCATGGACCTATAAAAAAAGGCGGACGGAACTCGCGCTACAACAAAACTGTGACGCAAAATTTTGGCGTTTGTCTATTGTGTGAGTGAATTTAGGGATGCCATGTTAGCCAAACATTTTACCCATTTATTTTAAGAAAAACATAGNATGTATTTAAAAAAAAAACGTGTATAAGTAGTATATCCGTTAAGCTAGCACCCATAACACAAGCATTGAGTTGCTTACTTTGGTGCTAGCTGGCGCTGTGTGAAATTGTCCAAAGATTATTTATTTTATTTAATCTATTATATAAAAGAAAGTCGTGTTAGTTACTCCACTTATAACTCAAGAACGGCTGAACTGATTTAGCTGAAAATTGTCAGGGAGGTAGTTTAGAGCCAGGAGAAGGACATAGGATACTTTTTATCCTGTTATTTATTGCCATTAAGGCGGAACAAAGTTCGCCGGGTCAGCTAGTCTATATATATAAAAGAAAGTCGTGTTAGTTACTACACTTATAACTCAAGAACGGCTGAACCGATTTAGCTGAAAATTGTCAGGGAGGTAGTTTAGAGCCAGGAGAAGGACATAGGATACTTTTTTATCCCGTTCGAAATAAAAAAAAAGTCTGCTTATTTATTGCCATTAAGGCGGAACAAAGTTCGCCGGGTCAGCTAGTAATTTATACACAAAAAATAATTAACTAAGTTGCCAAAAAACAGGTGGTCACCCACTCAGTAACATCTTGACAGTTTGATTGCCAAGACACTGATTTTCAGTGGGTGCCTGTGGCTGTGGATGCACGCAGTTCTTCTATCCTGTACCCAACGTTTCTCCATTAACCTAACCCAGTAGTATGTCGCTTTCTTCTAACTTTCGGTCTCTGTGCTATTTACTCGTACATAGGGTTGCCAGGTCCAAAAACACAAAAGCCGGACTATGTGCTTCATTTGGCCGGACATTTTACCCTAAAAGCCGGACATGCGACAATTAGTGAGCTCACGAGTGAGTACTATCATTATCGGTTGTCTAACGTCCTGATGCGTGCGTGCCTTATTCTGTGGCTCGACTTTCGCCTGGCGCGGCAGCCAACTAAAAAGCCTAACAAAAGCCGGACAGGCCGGACATCGGTTATTTTGGCCGGACACGCAATCAAAAAGCCTAACTATGTCCGGCTTTATCTGGACGCCTGGCAACCCTACTCGTACATGTAGTTGTATGGACAACGACAAACTATACAATGTTTGTATTNTAGTAAACAGCCACTTTTCTTCCAAAAGTCTTCAGTTTAATAAGGGAAACTGACCAGCATAGTCGAATCACCATTCGTGACGAAAATGTGAGCTTTTACACGTCTCGTCAAACAACTGACTATTTGAACACTCAAAATATGAAATAAACAGGTCCAACGCTACAAAACTCTTGCTTCGAATCTAAACACTTCTTTTGGTACCTATATATTAAAATTAAATGCGTGAACAGCGATTTATGTAGCCAGAAGCAACTGTCGGTGCGGTCAAAAACCATGCTTTGGAGGTGCCTCAAGCTGAGTGGAAAAAAAGCTATGAAAAGTGTTTCGGACACATTAAAAAGTACATAAATCATGAAAGACAATACTAATAAACGCAATCAATACCATTTTAATAATAAACTACTTTGTTTTCATAGTTAGGCTCACAACTTAAATAGTGTCCCACGTAACTAGGTGTGACTGACATAGCCCGCAGAATCGCTAAAATCAAGTGGCAGGGCGCGGGGCACATAGCTCGAAGAGCTGATGGCCGCTGGGGCAGGAAGTTTCTTGAGTGGCGACCACGAGCCGGAAGACGTAGCGTGGGCAGGCCTCCCACTAGGTGGACCGACGATCTGGTGAAGGTTGCGGGAGGTGCCTGGATGCGAGCGGCGTAGGACCGGTCTTTGTGGAAATCCTTGGCGGAGGCCTTTGTCCAGCAGTGGACGTCTTTCGGCTGAAACAACAAGTAACTAGGTGCACGCAGTTCTTCTATCCTGTGCCCAACGTTTCTCCACTAACCCAACCCAGTAGCATGTCGTTTTCTTCCAACTTTCGGTCTCTGTGCTATTGTTATACAGAATGTGGTTTTGTAAAATAACGCCCATCTCAGCAGTGGTAGTACACATAAAAGTAATTACAAGAAAAACAGAAATAAAATTTTAGCTAGTAAAAAACCTTGTTCAATCGTCTCCTAAAACTTTCAAGACGGCGCTTGTTACTGCCACCACCACCCCCGCGTACCCCGCTACATCACCGAGCACACGCGCCGTTTCGGGAGAGTGGGGGGACTGTCCGATAGTTCGCCCGCGTAAATAAATAAATAAAATAAATAAATATCTTTCGACAATTTCACACAGCGCTATCTAGCCCCAAAGTAAGCAATTAATATGCTTGTGTTATGGGTGCTAGCTTAACGGATATACTACATATATACTTTTTTAAATACATACATATTATACATAGTAACACCCAGACCCGTCACAGAAATTAAAATTTATCATTTCAATTTCTGCCCGGCCGGGAATCGAACCCGGGACCTCTCGGCATAGTAGTCCGTTTTTAGAACCACTACACCAAACGGCCGACAAAATATAATACCGACGCGTAATAATACCATTTTCCTGATTTCATGGACTTTTCCATGATTTTTTTTTTCGTCGTATAAAGACGTAAAGTGCTATTGCATTATAATTGTATAGATCTCTTGTTTTATCATGTGCGATGATTCACTGGCATACTCCACCCACAGAAAAAGTTTAGTTAGTACTCACATCCAGTATTATTTCAATATCTTTTCGAGTTCCACATCACTCAACTTAACTAATGNTTAATACGATAAAGAATAATACAATGTAGTAAAAACCACCTGTTATAGGGGCATTTTTGGAGAAATTTATCAAATAACCAAAAAAACCCGAATTTAAAAGCAGAATTTTTTCAAAAAGTATATTTTTTTATTATTTGTTGGCATTTTCTGGGTTTTTTATGTATTTTTTTAGTATCGCCTGTTATTTAGCATTATTACTGTTTTTATTTTATCAGGATATACCTCTTAGTTTAAAAGTTATTACGTTTTCTTTACAATAAGTAATCGAAAGAAAAAAAATCTATAAAAAATAAAAAATAAATCTCAAAAATTTTTGACCTCTTTTTGTCGATAAAAATAGGTCTAGTTTCATCTATTTTCATATGTACACTTTAACGTGACTCACACTGTATAACTCTTGCCAATTACAGTCTCACAGCTATGTTTTTGGAACGAATAAATGAGATGAAACGAAACGCCAAATCAAGGTCTGGTATCGTATAAATTCGTAATGTCCTATTGCAACATAATTGTAAAGATCTCTCACAAACAAAGTTTAGTTAATTCTTACATCCACTATTATTTTAATATCTTTTCGAGTTCCACATCACTCAACTTAACTAATGCCACTGATTTATCCCATACCTTCCTCATCAGCTCCTCGTCGGAGGCAGCTTTTGATGATTCACGGGGCGCGCAGTCTCGGTAGTACAGACCGCTCGCTTGCCCGGCCTTCTCGTCCAAGGCCGCGTGCAACGGCGTCTGGGCACCTTCATATGGCGTCTTGGAGAAAAGCCAACAATAAGCAAAACTAATTAACAACAGGCGGTATCTGGTATTTAAGAAAATCCCAGTCCCCACCTCACCGGGATCAACGCAATTGATCACGACATTTGAACTCTTGAGTCTCTTTTTCAGCTCCCGGGAGAACAGCACCAGATACAACTTGCTCCTTCCGTACGTAACAAACGGGCCCAAAAAGCCCCAAAAAGCATCGTTCGGCACGCCCAAGTTTTCCACGTCCAACCATCTTGCTAAGTAATGTGTTGCCGAAGAAGTATTCACTATCCTGCTTGGAGTAGACGGTGTCCCACTTTTCTCCAGAAGCGGAAGGAGTAATAGAGTCAGGAGGAATGAACCAAGATAATTGACTTGCATTGTGAAACACAAGCCATCTTCACTCAATGGTGTGTTGCTCATAGCGATCCCGGCGTTGTTCATCAATATATCCAGACGTTGTTCTGTATTTATGATGTCCGCCGCAAAGTTTCGCACGGATTTTAAAGATGCCAAATTCAATAATTTGAAGACTACGTTGTCGTTCCCAGACTCTTGGATGATCCTTTTCTCAGCACTTATTCCCTCTTCTTCAAAGGGACACGCTACTACCACTCTCGCGCCTCTTGATGCGAAGTCTATGGCGATCTCCAAACCAATGCCGCTGGTCCCCCCTGTCACCAGGCAGGTCATGCCGTCTAGTCGTTTCTTAGATTTGCAGATTCCATTTTTTCTTTTTCTGTATAAGCCGTATATACAAAAAATAAATATGATTGCTTGTAGAAAAAATAAGCTTGTAAAGAGAACACCCATTTCGCAAGTGAGTGCGCTTGAGATTTGCAAACGAATGAAATATTAATCTTCTACCTTATATGCAAATGTTGAGCTATTGTTTTGTACAGACGAAAGAACGCGAAGCTGAAAAATTTGGCGTTTATGTCGTTGTATNATATACAGAAAATAAATATGATTGCTTGTAGAAAAAATAAGCTTGTAAAGAGAACACCCATTTCGCAAGTGAGTGCGCTTGAGATTTGTAAACGAGTGAAATATTAATCTTCTTCCATATGCAAATTTTGAGCTATTTTTTTGTGAAGACGAAAGAACGCCAAGCTGCACAATTTGGCGTTAATTTCGTTGTTTATAGGGGTGATATTGCAAAATTACTTGTATTGTGCTGTGGTGTCTGTACTATGCCATGTTATGTAAATCTACATTAACTTATTTTTTATTATAGCGGTGTTAAACGCGCTAAAACATAGCCTATGTGTTAATCCAGGGTGTCAGCTAACTCCATACCAAATTTTATTAAAATCGCCCAAGCCATTTAGACGTGAATACATACTCACAAACTTTCGCCTTCATAATATACTATTAGTGTGATTCGAAAAATACAGTGTGAGTATTCATAAAGTGTACATAATTATGAAAATGGATGAAACTAGATCTATTTTTATCGTAGGAAAACATGTAAAGAAATTTGATATTATAAAAATCTCAAAAGGTAACATTTTATTATCACCGGTCAGCAAAAAAAAAAAATTTTTTTTGCATGTGTTTGGCTCTAAAGTTGCACGTTACATTCTCATTGGGATACATTTAAAAGTAATATGGGGGCTTATAAGAAGAACAAGGGGCAGGCTTCCATCAAAATATAGTGGAATATGAGAGACGTTACCAAGACCAGTAGATATACAGAAAGCATGATGGGGGAATTTATTTGGAGGAAGAGAAACATCTATGGAATATAACAGGAAAAGTAAAACTATCAATTTTTTGGACTCTATTTTAAAACTTCAATTGTAATAATGAAACATAAATGGATATTCGGTATCTTTTAATAAATAGAAAGAAAAAATGTTTATTTGGCACCAAATTAAATCATCAGACTCTCTAAATGTCAATGTCTTATTCATTTTGATGATTTGAATTACTAATTTGTTAACTGTTCTTTTTTCTTCTTATTTCTAGGTATAAAAGCAATAAAAATGAGGTATGTACAACCCGTGTGCAAAAATCCTGTAGACAGTTGTTATTTACCATCACTACTGTTAATTTTATCAGGGTATTAGTCTTTTAGTTCAAAAGCTATAGGTAACGTGTTTTTTTTTACAATAAATAGGTACCTACTTAAAAAAAAAACAATATTTTTTTTTTAAATTCCAGATTTAAAGATATTGCAACTTGTCATAGATTAACGATTCAGGTATTATTACACCAATAGGTATACCTATTCTTTGACGTCTTAGCTATATTGTAGAGTGACTAGGTATTTCAATCATATCATGGCTTTACCTGCGTGGGTTTATAGCATCGTTACAAATTATTGCGTACCAGCTTTTACCTGCCTGAAATTTTGTCTGTCACAGGAAAAAAAGAGTAAAGAAACCTGGATAAAACTATATAGTGTGAGTCACGTTAAAGTGTACATATGAAAATAGATGAACCTATTTTTATCGACAAAAAAGGGGTCAAATTTTTTTTGAGTTTTTTTTTTAATTTTTATAGATTTTTTTTTCTTCCAATTACTTATTGTATAGAAAACGTAATAACTTTTAAACTAAGCGGTATATCCTGATAAAATAAAAACAGTAATAATGCTAAATAACAGGGGATACTAAAAAAATACATAAAATACACAAAAAATGCCAACAAATAATAAAAAATTATACTTAAAAAAAAACTGCTTTTAAATTCGTGTTTTTTTGGTTATTTGGTAAATTTCTCCAAAAAATGCCTCTATAACAGGTAGTTTTTCTTACTTTGTATTATTTTCTATCGTATTATCTCTGAAAAACCAAAAATTGCATGTCTCTATCCCTATCACAACATTTGCTATGATCGTTTGAACAATGGCCTGCCACAACATTATTATCCGCTACAGGTAGAGACAATTTTAATTTTAACTAAAATGCTTATTTTACTTCGAAATCTTTTGTTTTTATTTGAAATCTAACTTGTTTTTATCAAAGTTACAAATCTAGAGCCATTTTCAGTTTCGTTGTTTTAACGAAGCGTTGAATGGCGCGCCCGGAGAGGCTTAGTTCAAACGATCATTGCAAACGTTGTGATAGGGATAGAGACATGCGATTTTTGGTTTTACGAAGGTAATATGATATGATATGATAGAAAAAATATATAATATGATAGAAAATAATACAAAGTAATAAAAACCACCAGGGGGCATAGGGGCATTTTTTGGAGAAATTTATCAAATAACCAAAAAAACACGAATTTAAAAGCAGATTTTTTTTAAAAAGTATCATTTATTATTATTTGTTGGCCTTTTTTGTGTATTTTATGTATTTTTTTATTATCGCCTGTTATTTAGCATTATTACTGTTTTTATTTTATTAGGATATACCTCTTTGTTTACAAGTTATTACGTTTTCTTTACAATAAGTAATTGGAAGAAAAAAAAATGTACAAACAAATTAAAAAAAATCTCAGAAAATTTTTGACCTCTTTTTTGTCGATAAAAATAGGTCTAGTTTCATCTATTTTCATATGTACACTTTAACGTGACTCACACTGTATTTTGTTCTTTCATGCATCCATCCACCCTCACAAACTTCCACACTTTCAATATTAGGATTAGGTACTACCACCCCTGAGACAGGCGTTGTTTTACAAAACCACAGCCTGTATTAGGCCCTTACCTATGAAATAAGCGTTTTTTTCTTCAATATTCATTAGCATATTATAATTCCTTTCATATTATAGCTATGTTCATAATTTTTTAAATTTAATGTTTAAAATTAGATTTCAAGGACTTTTACGAGTAAAATGATTAACTATTTTTTTTTCAATTAGAATTTAATCTTTAAAGACATTCGGATTTTTGACGTTTGTTAAAGTTAAAGTAAGATGGTGCAACCCAATCTTAGACGTGGGTATTGTAGTGTAATGTGATGTACCGTGAATATTGTTATTAATGCAGATTTAACTTCTGTAACTAATAGGCCAGTAGAATTAAACACAAAAATTGATTAAATCGGAAATAATTCCTACAAAAGATTTTTTTGCTTTAATGGCTTCATTGGTTGCCCATTAAGATTGAATGATCAAACGAACTTACCAAGTGAAGTTCGATCTAAATTATCCTGTTTTCGCCGAAGAGATTTATTTTACCATGTAGTACCCCTGTACGACAACCCAATCCGCACACAATATTCAGCGTAGTAGTATTAAAAAACAAAAGAGCGGGCAACCCCACCCCTACCACGCTGTGGGCTCGNAAATAAATCTCGGAGGCGAAAGCAGGATAATTCTCCTAAGTTTTCGACTTCGACGGAGTTGTGCTTAAGTGGTGGGGGCCCCCGAAAGAAAACACTAAAATCTTTTGTAGGAATTATTTCCGATTTAAAAGCTAATTCTACTGGACTATAAGGAGCTTATAGCTCGACGACCGTTTGGTGTCAGTACACCAAGGCGTCGGTCGTCGAGCTATCCGTCGTTACGAATCAGTATTCGTAACGGACTATCATGCCGAGGTCGCGGGTTAGATTCCCGCACAGCCTACAAACATTTGTGTGCATGAACAAGTTGTTTGTATTGGTCTGGGTGTTTTCTATCTATAGAAGTATGTAATTTACATACTGGTCCTTTACTTCTACTCAGTCTGCTTTCGAAGCTATTTCAGAAATTACTTACTTTCCTTAATGAATGATCTCATCATCATCCTCTATATTTTCTACTAGCTTTCCGCCCGCGGCTTCGCCCGCGTGGACTACATATTTTTTTCCAAAATAAAATGTAGCCTATGTTACTCGTGGATAATGTAGCTTTCGAATGGTGAAAGAATTTTTAAAAACGGTCCAGTAGGTTTTGAGCCTATTCATTACAAACAAACAAACAAAGTTTTCCTCTTTGTAATATTAGTGTAGATGAAAAAAGCAGCATAAACATTTTCAGGTAATAAAATAGCCTTTATTTTAAATGTCTATTTATTCAACCAATCTTCCGCATTAAATAATTTGTTCTTCTTGAAACATATACGTAATCATTAACTCTAGATAAGCATTTCTTTGTTTAAAATAATCTAAATAAATAATAATTATAATATCACACCTCTCTTTTATTAATAGTCATGAGTATGACACATACATATTTGTACATAACTTGAAATACTTCAGGAAAAACAAAATTAATTAATAATCATTCTTAATATTCATTCTAAAACAATTATTTACAATTTTTTGTTAAATATCAATTGACAAATTACAATAACGCAAGTACCTTTAGGCACTTACTTTTAGAAATTAATAAGGATTAAAGATACCTACCTAATTTAGATACTTATTTACAAGAATATGCAAAAAAAATTAGAACTGAAGTTATAGATTATGAAATAAGATACATAAGGTGTCGCAAACTAAGAGTAGGCGCACACAGTTGATTTTTCGTCGGCCGATAGTTTAGTCGGGCAGTCAGTATGGGCATGTATGGGAGTGCGCACACTACGCCGATTCGATTTGGCCGATTCTTCATACAAATTAAAATCGGGCACAACTATCGGCCAACTAAAAATCAACGGTGTGCGCCTACTCTAAAAGTCCCATACCGATTTTACTTTCTCCATATTCTACAGCTCCTATGGAAGGCAGACTTATCTAATAAGTTTTAACATCACCACCAACTAGCTGATAAATATTGTCACGTGTCATAGGTCCAGCACATTAGTATCAGTGAAGCCACACTTCCGTTTACGTGTTCGTTCATACAGGGTGGAAACGATAAGTGATCTCACTCTATTATTTCTAAACTATACAAGATATCGACAAACCGGTTACTGATCCTGAACATTGAATTTTCGGATAGATGCAGTTTATTCTGTTACCTATTATTGGTACCGTTTGATAGAGCTCATGAAGCACTTTCAGGATCAGTAGCTAGTTTTTTGATATCTTGTATAGTTTAGAAATAATTCAGTGAGTCTG